AAAAAAAAAAAAAAAAAAAAAAGTCCCCCTAAGGCTCATAAGGTTTGGTCATTTGCCTGTGGTACTGCTGGGAAGGGGTGGAACTTGTGGGCTTTGTGCAAGTCAGTCACCGGGAGGATGCGCTGGAAGGGAAGACCGGGATTGTGGGTCCCTCCTGTCTCCTCCTCCGCTTCCCAGCCACCACGAGGTGAACAGTTCTGCTCCACCATGTGCTCCCACCGTGACCTCCACCCCAGCCCAAGGCCAAGCGGCCAGGACTGCAAGCACTGAAACCATTAGCCAAAACCGATAAACCTTTCCTCCCTTTCAGGTGTGTGTCTCAGGCATCTTGTCATAGTGACCGAAGCCACACACTGTGTAATGACGGGTCACCTGTCTGATGCCAGCCCCCTAGGACCCTAACAGAACCAAATCCCTGTCTTCCAGTGACACCACAAAGCACAACTCATAGGATTGGGCCGCTGCTGCTGGAGATAAACCTACAGTTCCCCAACTGCATAAAAGTGTGACCCGGTTATGTTGATAATAAGCATTGTAACCCAGTTGATAATGACAATAAGCATTAGCGGTTCGTATATTTGCTATACTATATTTTGCACACCAGAGAGGTAATATGCCAAGATCATGATGGGGTATGGGGAAGGAATGGCATAAAAAGCCAAGCCTGCGCTTTACCAAGGCCCCGCCTCTCCTGTGTCAGGGATCAAATCCGGGACCTCAGGCAATGCTTGGCACACACCCGCCTCGCACCACATCCCTGGCCGCTACTGGGAGGCATCAAGTGGTGGCAGGTGGTCACTGACCTGTGCCAACCAGGCTTCTGCAAGCACTCGGCGAGGTTTGCACAGCTGTAAGTCAGCTAATAGCGCCTTTTCCAGCATGTGCCTCCATCGTAAAGCCGTGCATGTCTGTGGTTATAGGTAGAGGCTTTGTGAGTGCAGGCAGCTGCTCTACCATTGAGCAATACTCCCAACCCAAAGACATACTCACTTTTAACTGCTGTATAAGACCAACAGGAGGCAATTAAAAAGTGAATTTGTACCCGGGTGTGGTGGTGCACGCCTGTAATCCCAGCACTCAGGAGGCTGAGGCAGGAGGATCGCTGTGAGTTCGAGACCAGCCTGGGCTACATAGTGAGTTCCAGGTCAGTCTCATCTACACAGTGAGACTCTGTCTCAAAAAGCAAACAAACAAAAATAAATAAAATTTTTAAAAAATTTTTCATTTTAAAAAGTGAATTTGTACAGTATTTTGCATTATTAATAGGCCCAATATCATTTGGTATTATAGACATTTTTGGCTTTAAATTTGGTCAGAAAATGACTCTTTGTGTAGCTCTGACTTATGATTATTGCCACTCACACTTAATAAATACCTGCAAGCCAGGTGTGGTGGCACATGCCTGTAATCCTAGCACTCAGGAGGCTGAGGCAGGAGGATTGCTGTGAGTCCGAGACCAGCCTGAGCCACATAGGGAGTTCTAGGTCAGTCTCAACTACATAGTGAGACCCTGTCTCAAAAATATATAAGTAAATAAATAAATAAATACCTGCAAATAACCAGTTGAGGCTAAACATTCTTGTGCTGTGGAAGGTAGCTCCTTGAAAAAGTTCCAAATTCCCTATAACTGCCCTCAAATAAGAATCTGAAGAATCTGTAACGTCTTCCCCGAAAGGGAACACTACTAAGAAACAACACAAACGTACAATGCTTGAGATTTTGCCAGGTTCCTCTTTTATCCTGCTCTCCCTTTTCTTTGCAGGTCAGCTATATTTTCAGGGAAGGGAAGGTGTGAGGTTGGAAATAAACAGTGGTGACAGGAGAGAGCGGTTAGAAAGGGAAGTTATTTTTAGGAAGGCTTGAAGGGGGAAGAAGTGAGTTAAACCAGGGCTCGGGCATTAGGGAGGTCAAGTCGAGGAAGAGATGGGTAATTGGTGAAAGGTTTGCCTAAATTCTCTAGTCCCTCTTGTTTCTTCTTACATATTTGCAGTCCTTCACTACCAGGTAACAAACGGAAGGCAACTTCAAACTCCTGGGAGTATTCATTTATTTTAGCCTCCCCCTATGTTCTTTGAGGGGGCAGATTCACTCAACATTCAGATTGGGAAAGGGGAGGACCCACGGCCTTTGCACATGCTAAGCATACACTATCACTGAGCTATACCCACAACCCCCAGCATTCACAAATTATTGTGGAGAACCTACTGGGTGCAGGATAGTCTGCTAAACTCCATGGGATGATGCAAACATGACAGCTGCTTTATATTTGTTGAGATTTTAGAGTTGGAAGTTCCAAGCCTAAATTTGTGTTTCAGTTGGGTTTTTGTCACTCATCCCTTTTTGTTCCAAAGTTTATTAAGTCAATGACCCAGAAACTGAAATATCCACCAAAACTACTTTCTCCTCCAAATGGTGAACAGTGCCTACTGTGGCCACAGCACACCTAACAGTGGTTTGTATCTACAAGGTGTCCACTGGCCATCCAGCATGTCACAGAGTCTCTCACTAGACTAAACTACTGGTGTCTTTCCTGGGAGACAGCTGGTGGGTTACTCTATTTGTAAAGAGCAAGGGATTATGAATGTGAGCAATTTCACTAAATTTACTCACTAAGTCATTTTATTTTAATGACTTAAGAGCCAGGCATGGTGACACATGCCTGTAATCCCAGCACAGGGGAGGCTGAGGCAGGAGGATCTCTGTGAGTTTGAGACCAGCCTGGGCTATATAGTGAGTTCCAGGTCAGTCTCAAAGACATAGTTGACCAAAAAAAAAAAAAAAAACCTACAAAAAAACAAAAAGAAAAAAAAAAGAAACTGTATTTTAATGCCTTAAGGGGGTTTGATTTCAAGATCTTTGAATTCTTAGACCTTTAACTAACTAGAATATTGACTAGAAGTTTAATACCAATTATAGCTTATTTATAACTAAATGTAGTGCTTGTTACCTTTGTCCTGATCATATAAAAATGTTTTTCATGTTACATGATCAGGGCAAATACAATTTTATAAAATGGTGCAACCAAGAATTTCATATATACTTTTTCTTTCTTTCTTTCTTTCTTTCTTTCTTTCTTTTTTTTTTTTTTTTTTTGAGGCAGGGTCTCACTATGTAGTTGAGACTGCCCTGGAATTCACTGTGTAGCCCAGACTAGTCTTGAACTCAAAGCAATCCTCCTGCCTTAGCCTCCTGAATACTGGGCTTACAGGCATGCGCCACCACACCTGGCTTCTGTGTTTATTTTAAAGTAGAGTATATTAAAAAATTGACCAACTTACAGTCAGATTTCATAGATGTCATTGTTTAAAATAAGACTAACTTTTAGAAATACTCAATTTATGTCAAATTAAAGGAAGTATTAAGTATCTGATAGTACAAGTAACATGGATGGGGCATGGATAAAGAGTAAAAAAAATTCAGGAGGTACTGGGTTCATTAATATATTGGTCTCCTCAAGAAATAATGTCAGAACTGGGGCATAGCTCAGCGGTGGAGGACTTACCTAGCACAGCTCTGGGTCCCATCCGTAACACCAGAAAAAAAAATAGTGCCAAGCACAGTTGTTCCCGGGAATTCTTTTAAATCTATATTCTCTCAATAATTTGGCTCAATTAATGAGCCAGTACATTCACATTTACAGATGAAAGACAGCACAGTAAGAAAAGTACTGGGTCAGAGAAAAGCCTGGAAGTCAAGGAATTCAGAGCAAGAGCAATTAAACTGATTCCAAAATCCATTCAATATTTCCAGAAATCAGAAAAAGACAACAGGGCCAAATTTTGAGTAACGAGAAGGGTTAATTAGGCCTGTGTTAACATTTGTTTTAGGCCACAACAGTTTCCCCCTTATAAGGCATAGTAATTTGGCATGTTGACCTTGAATTTAGCCCACTGATCCATTCACAGTTCATCCCTAGGTAAAACAGGGTCTCGCTATGTAGTTGAGACTGACCTGGAACTCTCTATGTAGCCCGGGCTGGTCTCGAACTCACAGCGATCCTCCTGCCTCAGCCTCCTGAGTGCTGGGATTACAGGCGTGCGCCACCACACCCGGCAAAACCTGGATTCTTTTTACCTCTCCTTCCACACTCTCCCTCGCCTTCCACCACCTCCTGGTCTCCTTTCCATTTGCAGAAGATCTCTCTCGCGGCTTCCTACTATCTGGCTTTGACTTTGCCCTTTACAGTACTCATATTTGGGGCCCGCCGGTATGGGACACGCGGCTCTCTCAGAGCCGGGATGGAGGACCTGTCCCTTGAACACTGTTCCTGTCTAGCGCAGAGCCGCAGGTGAAGGAAGATGTCCTCCGGGCAATACCTCGATATTCAAAGATTTGCTTTGAGTCCGGGCCTCCTGTCCGGGTTTAGACAGTCTTCATTAAAGAAGATTTAGTGCTGCTTCGTCAGAAAGTTTAAAAGTTATTTTCTGAGCTCTGGGGAACATCAGTCCTCAATGAATGGCCGTGTGCTAAGTGTCCAGCGATGTCCATTTTCTCTGTTACTTTCAGGAGGTAACAGCCACTCTTTGGATCCTGTGTGCTAGGCCCACAGCCAGAATACCACGCAGCCACGGCGCGGACAGTGCGGTAGGGCGAGTCCCGCCTGTCATTTAAGAAAAATGAGATTCTTTCTCCAAGGTCCCAAAGTGTGTGCTGACCACTTGTGGGTAACTTGAGTCCAACACTTTCACTACCAATCACTCGCCCATGTTTTAGTCCCAGTTCTCTTTTTATAATGTTTTACGAGTACAGACTTTGGTCAAAAGTATTACTCTTAAAGGTATAAATCAATTTGGGGCTAAGTCCTTTTGTAAAAAACGTTTGGTTTTGTTTTAACATGAATCTCTTCATGAGTTTGCCTGTCTTCCTTGCATGGGGCCTTGCTAATCTTCTCTGTATTTTTCTAATTGGAGTTTCTGAGCACCGTGTAGGTTTTTTTTATAATCCTTCAGATGATACCCAACAAATTCATTCCCCAAATGCTCCTACCTTTACATATGTGTTTGTACGAAAGTGTTACATGAAACGCGCCGTTACTGCAGCTCGCAATGCACACGCGCCTGTCGCTCCGGCCTTGGCGTTCGTGAGGGGAGGTGAAGCGGTGTAAGGCTCCGTGCTTCATGGATCGTGCCCACGGCTGAAGCACCCTAGCAGCTGAGAGGGCAACAGCGACGCGCTCTGAAGAGCCATTTCGAAAGGCAGAGGCTGAAGCGGAGCGCGAGCTCCCAGCCTCTTCCTGAGAGCCAGCTGTGGTTTGGGGACTGGTCCTCGGCACAGCGGCTGGAGCTCTTACCTAGCTTACCAGCCGCTGGGGTTTCAAGTGACCGGGGCAACCCAACTTTCCGACCTGGCCACTGCGAAGTTCCTGAGCACAGCGGGAGTAGGTGGGAGTAACTGTAGGTTCTGTCCCCTTCCTTTTCAGTAATCTACTAGTCTAGCCACGCGGTTATTTGGACTATGAACAGTTCTGCCCGCTCCACCTAAAGATTTGCGTTTTACGGTGCTGGGGATTGAACTCAGTAGTGTTCTACCACTGTGATAAACCCAACCATTCCTTTTTTCTTTAAGAAAAATGTTTAATTTTTGAGACAGAGAGTCTTGCGAAGGTCTCCAGGTTGGCCTTGAATGTGCAATCCTCCTGCCTCAGCCTACCACGGACCTGGGATTATAAGCATTCATCATCACGCCCAGCTCCCACTTAAAGTTTTTTTTTCTAACTTTTCTGTTCAGATTTTGTTTTGTTTTAAACTTTTTATCTCTTGTCAGTCCGTGTTTATAGCACGTAATGATTACGTCCCTCATGGAGATGGGTGTAAGTGCATAATACATCTTAATTATTTTATTCATCCCTTTCCTTTTCCCCCTCTTCCCTCTCCACTTAAACATTTTAAGGAACGAATCATATGTTGTAAGGCATGTACTATGTATTAATAAGCACCAAAGCCTCAAAATTAATAGGTTTTGAATATTACAGAGAAATAGGGATAGATCATCTTGGTTTATTTGCATGTGTGTGTGTGTGTGTGTGTGTGTGCGCGTGTGCGTTTGTATGTGTGCTTTCTGCTGTGAGAAGGAAGACAGGCCAAGTGGAGAAGGATAATTTTACCCAAATGCATAATCAGCTGATGCGTGCTGTTCTTTTTCTGTTGCCACCACGGTCGCTGCTTTTCCATGACTTGATATCTCAGATTGAATTTCTGCTCTTGCTATGTTTAACATCTATTTTTAACTTGGCCAACTGACTTGCTAAGGAGCCACGTGAGCGTTGCTATTTTAGAAGAAATAATAGTTGCCCCTATTATTTTAGACCCCGCTAGAAATCCTACAGAAAGTCACTGTGTCTGTCGTGCCCACTGCGCACACTTCAGGGCCTAAAACAAGGACCCGAAATGCAGAATCCGGAGCTCCCACCGTAGGGCGGGCAGCACCTTGGGGCTTGCGGAAGTTTTCTCAGCTAAGCCTCCAAAGGAAGCCGGTGTGAGCGAGGGCTCCTTGCCTTCTGCAGCGGGTGGAATGACACAGCCGTGTGCCAAGGGCAGAGATCCGGGCATCCGAGCCCCTCTGCCCTGCACTCACTTCCATCAGCCACTTTGGGGCATCAACCCCGCCCCGGGCCAATTACCTAAGGTCTCCCAGTCTCCGCGCGTTTTCATTTGTAAAGTGAGAGCAAACCTTCCGTGCTGACTGTTAGGAAGAAGCAGTAACTGAGCTGAGGCAGGACATTAGGCACCAGCAACAACACTATTTGTGTATTTATTGTGATACTAAGGGTGAACCCAAGCTGAATTCCCAGTCCTTTTTAAAAAATTATTTTGAGACAGAATCTCACAGTCACTAAGCGGCCCAGGGGAAACTCGAACTCATGATCCTCCTTCCTCAGCTTCCTAGAGTGCTGGGCATAGACCCTCACATCATCACACCTGGCCCAAGTTTTTTTCATGTCCCGCAAAAGAAAAATAAATAAAAATAAATAAATGCGTAGAGTTTGGAAGACACACGTCCGTGCAGGGGTCGCTGCCGGACTTCTAGAGCCTGATCTGGGCAGAAGGGGCTGCCAGGACCCAGGGCGGCCTTTAAGCGCCTTGCAAATCTTTCAGGGGAGATTGCTGCGGAGTCCACGCAGCAGTTTAACAGAAAGAAGACGAAGAAACGGCCGGGCACACACGTGTGGGGACCCTGCACACCTGGGGGACCCTGCACTCTGGTCTGGAAACCCCAGAGCCGGCTGCAAAGTCCTCTGGGACACCAACCGGGTGCTCGTGGGCCGATCACCCACAGGGCTCTCCGGGGTGGCCTGAGGCCCCGCCTCGTGACTTGGAGTTTCCCAAGCGCCTACAAAGAAGACAATTTGGTTCACCGGGTTCACCGCCTCCGGAGTCTCCCCGCCGGCCGTGCCCGAAGGGACCATGGCGCTAGGAGGAGTCTGCGCTTGGCCAGAGGCTCGCTGTTTGCTGAACTGCCGGGGAGAACCGCCCTGGCGTCGGCTAAATTAGGGGAGCCCCCCGCCCCGCTATACCTGCTTAGCAGCAAATGTCACCTATGGTTTTATATGCCTATTTCAAGGGACAAATCGTTTTATTCTGATGAGCTGAACAAACTGAAAAACATTATGAGACGTCGTCCACCGGGTGTCCGTTGATAACCCTTGGCTTCCACTAGACATTACGCTCAAATATCTGCAGACTGACTTACACTTCTGATTCCAGGGTTTTGCCAGTTCTTATGGACTTTCTCGAGCAGATTGCATACTTGGGTATTTATTCTGTCCTCAACGTGAGGATTTCACCTCATGCCTACCCCCGCTCTCTCTGCCTCCCCTCTTTCCTTCCCTCCCCCGCACCTAGGGGTTGAACCTAGGGCCTTGCACATGATGCTAGGAAGCCCCGTAGCCCATCCCCAGCTCCGCTTTCATTTTCTGGCATTTCCTGAACCACCTAGTACCGTCTCTATGACACCGTCTGTTGCATAGCAGTTGCCGGGACTAGGCTATGAAAATTGCAATGATGTTCCCTCACACATCAACACTTAAAACATTTTCCACATAAAGTATTTGCATAAAGTATTTCCATTTTACAAACTGGAGGACTCTCATTTTGTGTCATAAAAGTGATCTTAAGAAGGCCTCAGATCCTTGATATTCTTAATTTTGCCTATAAAATCTTGTTTGAAAACTCTGGCTTATTTACCTTAAATAAGCAGTTAGCATTTATATAGATGACTCGTTATTCATAGGATACACTTTCGTTAGCAAAAACCAAAGACACAATCGTAGAAGCCGCACAGTTGCCCAAAATATTTTGAAGAAAGATATTTTTAAAATGTAACAGCTAAGTCCAGCTCACCTTCCTGTTCACTGTTTTAAAAGTGTCTATGTTTAAAAGTTGATGTTCTTAATAAAGTTTTGGTAATGGATCAGGCTGTTTGTACAAACAACTTAGTTTTCATTCAAATGCCCATCAAGCACAGTTTAGAAGTTGTTATGAAGTAAATCTGTCCTAGTGTGGTTCATTTAACTGGCTTAATGCATATATATTATCACACTTAAATAAATGGGGCTTTTCAGAGAATTTAGTTTGGTTTCTCTGTATTCCAGTCTTTAAGATTTTATTAAAAAAAAAAAAACAGCTTTCTGTGAAAAGGATAGTGTTATTTTAAAATCCTTTTCCACACTTAAAAAGGATTAACTATTTTTTCAACCAATAATTTATGCACATGGCACAAAATTCAAAAGGTACAAAGGCCATATAATGAAATTCAGTCCCCTCCCTGCCCCAGCACTTGGGAGGCTGAGGCAGGACGATTGCTGCAAGTTTGAGGCCAGCCTGGGCAACATAGTGAGTTCAAGGTCAGCCTGAAACACACAGTGAAACCCTGTCTCAAAAAACCTAAAAAAAAAAAAAAAAAAAAAAAAAAAATGCATTTACAGGTAATGAACATAAGAAAATTTCTTCAAAATCCATTATTTACATAACACCATAGAGCACTTTGATTTTCCATAAATGTTAGATTCAAAAAGGTGATTTTCATGTAAGAGCAATAAAAATATACCCTGTGGGGTAGAACACGATAGCTTTAAGATGTGTGAGTTCTAATTATGGTCCCTGCTCCAGGACCCTGAACAAATGACGCAATACCTCAGCCGTGAGATGGGAAGAACAGCAGTTTCCCAAATGGGAGTTTAACAAGCACAGGACAACCTGGGCGAGGAACGCGGTGAGCAGAGGTGCTGGCAACCTGTGACTGAAAAACAACAGCCCAGCCGTGTGGCCAGCAGCCCGGGAGGCGACCCTAGTGCTGGACACCCCCGTGTGGGGTCCCCTCCCCATGTGACACAAAGCTGGGTCGCATCTGAGAGATGAGATTCGGTTACACTAGGTGGGCAAGGAGTGAAATTAATAAAGAAAAGGGAGCCCTCCTGTCTTCCTACCCCTACAGACTGGACTGGATTTCAGGCTCTGACGAGTTGATGGTTGTGGCAGCTGGGGTGACGGATAACAGAAGGAACTATGTGCTTCCCTTGACTGCGTCTCTGTCCAGTGCTTCCACTTTTAGTTTTGAGACAGGGCCACGCTGGCCTTAAATTGCTGGGCTCCAGAGGCTCCGCCTCACCCTTCGGAGCAGCTGGGACTAGAGCGACACATGACAGTGCCCAGCCAGCTGCCTCCACTTCCTGGGAAAGGGTCCAAATGAAACGCCGGGAAGCCTCCCAGCACTCAGGAGGCTGAGGCGGGAGGATCGCTGTGAGTTTGAGACCAGCTTGGGCTACACAGTGAGTTCCAGGTCAGTCTCACCTACATAGTGAGACCCTGTCTCAAAACAACAACAAGAAAAAAGAGACACAGGGCACTGAGACGGGAACAGGGCCCAGGGCCCAGGGTCCATGATGGCCACCCTGACCCTTAACCATTTTTAAGCAGTGTTCAGTACATTTACA